ATGCCTGCTGGACCTCAACTTTGAACCGGCGGAGAGCGATGGCGAGGACCGCCCACCGACCCCACACCCAACGCCGCTGCCGCCGCCGTGGCATCGTCGTCATGCTCCGGCTCCGGTCGCCACCGACTCTCCACGAGGTAAGTTTACCAAGAATACTCCTCGATCTGAACGTGAGGGGTTTTTCCGCCACTTGTGCACTTGGCCAGTTGAGTGCGGCACTGCGGTTGTTAGGAATTTAGGGCGTTAGTACCCGTGGACTCATGCTTGTGGGAGCCGAACCCTAGGACTGGATGGAGTTATTCCTTTTTTTCATAGGGGAAGTTCATGTAGCAACTCAATTTTTGTGAGAATTATTACTAATTCAACAAATATGTTATCCATATGGTTCTGAAATTCCACGCATATGTTCCATTCCATATATTAATTGTTGTTCCTTGCTTATAGTAGTCTTATATATTATAACCACCATTTATTTGAACAAGAGGTAACATGTAGTGCTCTATTTTGATAAAAAGGGTGACTGGAACAGTATCCAAATCCTTAAATTTACAAACTAACTGTTGGGTCATAGGTTATCTAATATCTTATAATCCGGAGATGACATATAGGCCATAAGTTGTCCGATGAGTCCTTATACAATGAAATTGCTGGGTGGTTTGATAAAAAAATGTACTTGCAGGAGTGGGCTATGAGGAGGTGGTTTGACAAAAAATGTGATCGCTACAAAGGACACCCCGACACTGTTGAATGTGAAGGTAGCATGATAGTCAACATGCAATGCAGTGGTAGGGAAATTTTCTGTTGTGAATTGATTACTTACAATTCTTCATGAACAGATGCTGATCAACATTGTCAAAGGGGCTTCTGCTCCACGTGAGGAAAAGTTAGCAACCTGAAAGCTGTGAGTTCTTGGCTTGGATGCCATTTGAAAATTGAAATAAAACAATCTTGCATGCTATAGGTATAGATAAGTTGGCACTGTATTATAAAATATTTAATGCCGTATGAACCCTGATGTTGTTTTTTACCTTGTCTTAATTTATGGTACTGGTATGGTTAACAGAAATGGTTGAGGCCTAACCTTCCTTCTTGCAGGCTTTGGTTCATGTGGCCCGAAAATGCCTAAGAATGCTCATGCACATTTTATGTTGGGTTTGATGTATCAAAGGCTTGGTCAGGCACAGAAGGTAAATCTTTCTCTTGAAAAATTGAAGTTGCTTAGCGTTTATGTAAAAGCTCAAGTAGCTGCAGAAACCTTTCAGGCAATAGCATCATATGAAAAGTCAACTGAAATACTGCTACAAGATGAGGAAGAAGTGCGGAGGCCTGATTTACTCTCATCAGTGAGGATACACCACCATTAGGTTCATCAGCTTGATCAACAAAAAGTTACCTTGTTTCTAGTTTTATTATCTTTCATGTGGTCATCAGCTCCTCTTTTTGGTTGCCTATTAATTTATTAAATAAAGTGGTTCTACCCCCTCTTGACTCAATTTGCTCCTCATGCAGTGCATTTTGCAAGCAAGTATGGGGGATAGTTTTGATGAAGAGCTTGAAACTGGCGAGGTAGATGACATTCTTGCCAAGTTGAAGAGTTCAGTTGAGTCAGATCACAGGCAAGCAGCTGTTTGGAATATCCTAGGTTTAGTTCTTCTTCGGGGTGGTCAAATACAGGTATGATATGCTGAAACTGTTACATTTTCTCTATTGATCATGAAACCGTGTCTCGCAAAGAACTACTTGCTGATTTTTTGCACCCTATCCAGAGTGCTATCTCAGTTCTATCTTCTCTCACGGCTGTTGCTCCAGACTACTTGGACTCCCTTTGCTAATCTTGGTAGTCGCATACATTCAAAGGTTCAAATACTATTTTCAGTTGTCATTGTCTTCCTTCAGACTTTAATATTTATCAACTTTCAGTGGGGATCTAGAGCTGTCTGCAAAGTGCTTTCAAGAACTTCTTCTAAAAGACCAAAACCACCCACGGCTGCTCTGGTGAACTATGCAGTTCTTCTTCTCTGTAGATATGGATCTTTGTCTGCAGGTACATGAACACTTGTTTGCCATAATCTTCTAGTACTTGCCATTTTCCCTGTCATATCATAAATATCCCTATGCTGTTTTGCTTCTAGCCAAAACGGTGACACTAGACAATTAGATAAGTCCAGAAAGCGTTTTCCCTAAAAATATCAATTGATTTGTTGGACACATTATATCAATTGATTTGTTTGTTCTTTATATCCACTAAAAATAAGTCCAGAAAGCGTTTTCCCTCCAAAAATGTGACCAACCTAGGAGAAACTAGGCGCTTTTTCATTAAGAGGAAAAATAGGCACCCAAATTCAAGCTGAGGGAAGACTTGAACCTGGGTGGTTGGGGTGCATGAGCACACCCCCACCTAACCAGTAGAGCTAGGCTCACTTCCTCCAAAAATTAAATTTAAAAATCACAGGTGTTTTATGAGTAGTAATTGCTTTTGGCTCCTGCCTCATGCTTTGTTACAAATTCAGGGGCAGGGGGCAATGTCAGCACAGGCCCTTACCTGCATCAGAAAGAAGCCTTAGTTGTTGCAAAGAGTGCTTACTTGCAGCAGTGAAGGCTGATCCTAGAGCTGCATCAGTTTGGGTTAATCTTGCAAATGCATATTACATGGATGGTGAGCATAGGAACTCAAAGAGGTGCTTGGAGCAGGTAACAACTTTTGTTATTTCAGTTTCCTTTTATTGACATGTATTACTCAAATTAGCTGTCACAAACATTGGTAATGTTGATTTGCTTTGTCGTCTGCTGGAGAAATATATCTGATGAGAACACAATAAGTTGTTTTATGCTGACTTGTAATGGATAGATGTAGATTCGCTATTTGCTATGTGCTGCTTTTTAATTGCAGGGAGAAGCTCCTTTAATTCATAGTTGTACTTGTAGTATCTTGTACCCTAAGGCTGGCCTTCGAGATTTGGTATTAACCAAAAAAAATGTTCAAAAGCTGACCAGTGACCCGCTTGTGGTCAGCACTAGCGCCCCACTGGGGACTGGTGCTTAAAAAAACTTGACCTGCAGGGGTAAGACCTCCCCCTGCATTGCTGTGATAGAGAAGACCTTCTCACACAGGCCGAGAAACCTCCCCCGAACCTGCCCCCACCCCGACATCGGGCACCATTGCCCTGTGAGAATTGGGCCGGGCCTTTTTGACCTGTGCTTGGCCGTGGGACAGACAAGGGATTTTTACCCCTCACCGAATTTGCTCCCACCGGAGCTTCAAACCCCAGACACGAGGGGTGCTACTCTAGCCTCCCTAACTGCCTCAGCTTAGATCAAAGCTTTTAGACACAAGGAACTAACTTTCCAGAACTGTTTGGATGGTTTAAAACAAATATTCCAATGACATAGTCACGAGAGTTCTGTTAGTACCTAACCTAGTAGAGACCTCTCTTCGCAGAAGTCCACAAATTGGGTCTTTTGGAAATTAATCACATTTATGTTTAACAGCTAGCTACCTCACAAACTCTGTACATCAAAAGTTATTGTTTAGTATAGTGATATAATTTACTCAAAACCTTTTTGGCAACTTGGCCATAGGAACTGTGGCCTATCAGGGGAGCTGGTTCTTATTTGCTATCAAAAGAAGATTTGATGGTCTAGGTTTCTTGCAGTAAAAACTATTTTCTACATTTGGTACTTGTCCTGCTTGACAGTTTATTTTAAACCAGTCAACTATATGGTTCTAAATTAAAGCCAAAATTATGGCCAGTCAGCTTGAAAATTGCTTGTCTAGCACTCCAGTTTTATTCCAGACTCACCAGTCACTACTGTCCATTACTAAATATATATAGTACCGTTCATTACTTTCCTTCTGCTCTGGTATATGCCAGAAAACTCTGTACTGCTGTAAGATGGAAAAGTAAGTATGTGACAAACTTTTTCTTATATTCTTTTGAATGGGTATGCTTTGCAGGCAGCAAAATTGGAACCCAATCATATGCCTGCTCGGTATGCTATTGCAGCTCATCGTATCAGAGATGCTGTAAGGTCACAATGTTCTAATGATCAACTTCTTTGGGCTGCAAATGAAATGGCAACAGTTCTAAAGAAGGAGATCCTTCTGCAGTTGATGCCCCAATTGCATGGGCTGGGCTGGCAATGGCTCATAGGGCACAACATGAAATTGCAGCCGCCTACGATACCGAAAAACATCAATCTTAATGATGCAGAAGAGCGAGCTCAATATACACTAAAACAGGTGATGCTTTGCAAACTATTAGCAGAACTGAATTCATTCTCTTCAATCTGATTGGCAAGTGCGTAAACATGGACATGGGAAAGTAACGTAAATAAACATTATTATTTTTGAAATTCTATTACAGGCAATCCAAGAGGATCCAGATGATGCTGTTCCAATGGCATCAACTTGGCTCTGTACAATATTTGCATGACCGGTTCAGCAGGTCTGTAAATTTTCTTAAAGCAGCTTTAGCTCGTTCCCCAGATTGCAGTTATGCTTGGTCGAATCTTGGTAAGTTTTGGGCTCACTTTGAGTCCTTTTTTTGTTGATTCAAAATTTAGTAGAACTGAACAACATTAAACTTATCTGAGGCTTTTTCTTGCACGAAGATTATTTATTATTAATTTCATAAGTTCTAAACTATTCTATAAATATGTTTTGTTTTTTGCTAGGAGACTGATGTTTTATGTTTAGCCAATGGGGAATGTTTAAAATGATTTGTTTAATATATCTATCTTGTTCAAGCCCCAACAATTTCCTAATTTACCAATTCATCTAATTAGTCGAGAAGTTCCCCATGCCTTTCATCTCAATAAAGGAACTTCTATCCTTTATTTAATGGAATAGTCTGCTTTTGTGCAATTTATCAAATGAAGTAATGAGTATGCACATTATAATCACTGTCTGAGAATAATTTCTTGTTTCTGCAGGTATCGCTAAGTTGCAACTATCAGATGATCCATCCTCTGAAACTGTATATAAGCGGGCACTGGTAAAATCATCAACTCATCAGCTGCACGCAATCTTCTTCGAATCTTGGAATTCTTTATCGGCAGCATAGGAACTATGAATTTGCAAAGGAAGATGTTATTAAGGTCGTTGGAACTGTGTCCTGGATATGCACCAGCCAGCAATAACCTGGGTCTTGTATTTGTCGCTGAGGGCCGTTGGGAGGATGCTAGAAGCTGTTTTGAGAAAGCTCTGCAATCTGATCCCCTACTTGATGCGGCCAAATCGAACTTGTCAAAAGTCCTTGCATTGTCTAAGATACAGTAGAACAAGACTACAGGAGAAGACCTAACTCCTAAGGAAATTTCCACTGGAGCCTCGGAGTTCAGACACGGGAAGCTTGGTCATCAAATCTCTGTTCTGAAGTGTCTCAAGGGCAATTCAAATTTGATGCTTGGTGCTTCTGTACTGCACTAGCTCACAGGTGTAGGAAGTTTCAGAAGTGCAGCTTGTAAGACGGCAGTTGGTTTTGACCGAGGGGCTGCCCTTGATTTTGAAGCTGAACAGGCTCCGAAGTAGCTGTGATGTGTTCTAAAGAGTCGCATCGGCGCAGGAAGGGCCCAGATTTTGAAGTTCATGTGTAGTTAAATTTCGATGTAAGCCTGTAACAAGCCTGTATGTGAACGGCTTCCCTTAGCTGATGTATATATAAAAATAAATAAATATACTCCAACTTGAGCATGTGCATGTTATAGGTTCAGTGTTCCATATAAAAAACAGTGTTTCAGAGAGCAACCTATGGTTCTGTGCATGAAACTAACTCCATCTAAACCTCAAATTTGGCAGCAATTCCACTTTGGAATTAAAAGGGCGTCCTACGAGTGTATAAAAATGGAGACGTTTAACGATTTATAATTTATTTTAAGAGATGACTTGGAAGTATAGCAACACCCATTAGAGTTTGAGGTTAGATCAAAATACAGTGAGAATTAAATCTAAAAGTTCCAATAAAAAATATAGCTCAAATATTTAGTAGCCAATAATTGTTCATTTCTCCTATATTTTATATGCTTGATTTTTTTGTTGTTCATGTAACATGTAATTTTATTATTGTTTGGCTATAAAAAAAAGTATGAATGATTTCTTGTGAGTTGTCCACTAGTTACTAGTTGTGCAAGATCATTGCTTCATAATTATTCATGGTTTTCTTTACTTTGTACCACCGCCAAATTGAAAATTCAATCTATCACATTGGAAGACCAGATTGTCATGAAAGTTTTGAGTCTTCAACATAAAAGTTCTAATAAGAATTAGTGTGTGTTCAGCGGCAGGTAACGAGTGAACACTTCAGCTTTTACATCTAGGATAGGAAGCGGGCTATTGGACTCCGCGGGCAGCAACCTCATAAACCATCAGCTGGGTCTGGGCGCCACCCGTTGAACGGCCGAGCTGCCGACGACGGCGAGTACCCGCCGGCGATTCCACCTCTCTCGCCACCTCCTCCCCTCGCGCGCGCGAGGGCATCCCGGCGCCCGTTACCTCCAGATCAGCTCCTGCGCACCGCCCTCCCTTCCAGATCCTTCTAGGCCTCTCCAGATCCTCCGAGCGCGGGCGCGCGGGGCGGAGATCTCGCCGGAGAAATGGACAAGTCCAGCGCTCTCGAATACATCAACCAGATGTTCCCCACAGGTACACACGCTCCCGCTCGAATCGAATTGGTGTTTCCTCGCTCGCACGGGGACTTTGCTCGTGATGCTGTGCTGCGGCAATGCGCCTGTTTCAGCTGTGCTGTTGTTCGGAGCTCCTAGGGTAACAATTTGTTTCTGGTTTTCCTGTGACCTGCAGAGGCGTCGTTGTCGGGCGTGGAGCCGCTGATGCAAAAGATACAGAGTGAGATTCGCCGTGTGGACGCTTAGCATCCTCGCCGCTGTCCGACAGCAGGTTTGGCCTTGTTGTCCCACGTTATGTGTCATGCAGTGATGCTATTTGTAATGTGTGCACTCTTTGTTCTGGAACAGTTAAACTGAACTGACCAAACTGACGTGTCATAATTTGATCAGTGCTATGTCAATGCAATTTCACCTAATGAAATTATGCTTTTGCTCATTGTTATGCTACACTGGATAATGGGAAGAATGTTTTTACTTAACAGAGCAACTCGGGAACCAAGGCCAAGGAAGAACTTGCTGCTGCAACAAATGCTGTTCAGGTCGGGTTTTTTTTCACTTGTTATGCACTATTAAGATTTCTCACTATGAAGCTATTGTATCAGTTGATTAAGCATCGTGGCCTGCTGCCTGGTCAGATAACTGGATTAGTAAACAAACTGGTTTCTGCATTTGTTGCAGCAATTAATAGTGCATAACAAGTGAAATAAAACAAAGTTCTGATCAAATTTGGTACTAACAGGAATTAATGCACAAGATACATGAAATAAAACAAAGGCTGAACAAAGTGAAACTATGGTTCAAGAAATCTGTCGCGACATCAAAAGTTGGATTGTGCTAAGAGGCACATAACAACTACAATAACCGCTCTTCACCCGGCTTGCTATGCTTGGTTAGTTTCCTCCTCCCTCTCTTTTGTGTGTTGTGGAATAGCAAAGGACATCAACCTCATCTAAATCGTGTTAACTTATGTACAGTTTCGCTGTTGAGCAACTTCAGGTTATGGCGTCAAAAAGCGGCAGTATAAAAGAAGCAGCTGCGCGGCTGGAGGTAAGAATGATTTAATTAGCTGATAAATCTGTAAAAGCTCTAGAATTAATTTCAATGTCTGAAATATTTTTAATACTTGTAGTAATTGTTTTGCATGATTCTGCACATGATTTCCAACCAATTTCTAACTCTGTTCCAGGCAGTGAACCAACTATGCACTCATTTTGAAGCCTATAGAGATGTGCCCAAGATAACAGAGCTGAGAGAGAAATTCAAGAATATCAAGAAAATCCTCAAATCTCATGTATTTTCAGATTTTTCAAGGTACATAACAATTAGACTTATTCGTCATTGTGAAAAAGATACCAGGCTAGTACCTGTTAGTGGCACTACCAGTTTCTGGCTAGTTCCTGAACAGTAAACCAAGAAAATGACAATTTGAGTCCATGTGTCAGCTCAAAACAGGTGAGCCAGGAACAGTGTGTAATTGAAGTTCTAAAATCAATAACATCTTTCTGTTCGATCACACACGTAGTAATGATTGCACAACCTTTTCCGCTTGGCAGCAATCATCTGGTAACAGGCAGGGACCATTTTCTCTTCTATATGGGCCTCATACACGGCCTGGTAGACCTGTTTTAAAAACAATGTAATATCTTGATAATGTAAAGAGGATCCGGTCTTTTGTATCCTCTGAACAATGTAATATCTGTTCCCTAACTAGCTTGGTTTACAAAATACTGTTCCCCACTGGTAACAAATAGTTTGGGAACCCAGCCTCCTAGAGATGTTACTTGCCTGGTCAATTGTAAGACGTAACAGGTAGGGGACGCTGTTTTCTATATGGGTCTCACACACAGCCTGGTGGACCTGTTTTTAAAAACAATGTAATATCTTGATAACGTAAAGAGGGATCTGGTCTTTTGCATCCTCTGAACAATGTAATATCTGTTCCCTAAATAGCTTGGTTTACAAAATACTGTTCCTCGCTGGTAAAGAACAGTTTGGGAATCCAGCCTCCCAGAGCATGTTGTGCGCCTGGTCAATTGTAAGACAATCAAGCAATTCAGTTTTTTATTTTTTCTCGAACACGCAAAAGATCAATTCAATGTTTTATTCAGTTGTCTGTTGTTATGCCTATTACTTCGTAGGGTGAAATAGACCGAGTAATTTATACTTTTTCAGCTTAGGAACTGGGAAGGAAACAGAAGATCCCATGCTATTACAGCAGCTATCTGATGCTTGCTTGGTGGTTGATGCATTGGAGCCATCTGTAAGGGAAGAACTAGTGAAGAACTTTTGCAGCAAGGAACTCACCTCATATAGGCAGATCTTTGAAGGAGCAGGTTTGACCTTGTATATGCTATATATATCAGTCTGGTTTGTAATTTTAGTATCAATTTATTTACTCCCTAGTTCGCTGTTATTTTGATACTTCTTACAAAAATCAGAACTTGCCAAATTAGACAAGACCGAAAGAAGATATGCGTGGATTAAACGTCGACTAAGGTCAAATGAAGACACCTGGAAAATATTTCCACCTTCGTGGCATGTCGACTATCTGCTGTGTATCCAGTTCTGTAAGATTACAAGGTTTGATTTCTCCTTATCTAGTTTTGCAATTAATGGTCTTGCTCCAAACTAAGATTACATAGAACTTAAACAGCATTTTCAGTTTTTGCTTCTTGCTTGATGCATTTGGTACTTGTTTTGAATGATTTGGTCTACTTTAACTATCTCTTTGCCCTCTTAGCTGTAAATTTATCTGATAACATAATGGTCAATTCTTATCTTCCACCTTACCAGTCAATTTACCAGTGAAAATTCTTCTTTCAGGGCCCAGCTTGTTGATATCCTTAATAATCTCAAAGAAAAACCAGATGTGGCAACTTTGTTGTTGGTAATTCCCCTTGTGATTTATCTTACAATGCTGTGCCACTGATTTATATTCTATAGCCTCCTTATTCGAGATGTTTCATGACCTACTTTCTGTTATGTCTTCTAGGTCTTTAGGTATTTTCTTTAGTATTCTTATTTTGCTTCAAGGCCCATTTCTTATCAGATCTTCCATTCCCTGAAAAGTAACAAATGATCAAGAAAACAAACAAAATTTACGTATTTCATGATGTTGTTGCATTACAATTATTGAAGCGATAGAGATATCTCTGAAATGTTTGGTTATTTGAGTTGAGCATGTGAGCTCATCCATTTGCCGTGTGGAACATCTGCAATGAACATTTTGAGATACTTGCAATGCAGGCGTTCCAGAGAACCCTTGAATTTGAGGAAGAATTGGCAGAGAAATTCAGTGGTGGAACTACTGAATGCTAGAAATAAAGAGACAGCAAGTGATGACGAAGATGAGGGGGGAACACAATAAAATTGTTTCAGACATACGGAAGAAATATGAGAAGAAACTGGCAGGACCCAGTGATGAAGCTGAACAAGTATCTGGCATTTAATTTTAACCCCTTTTTTTCATTTTATTACATATTTACAACTCTTCTAGCGTCTCCTTACTGGCAGGACAAAGATAAGCAGAAAGATTTGTCCGGTTCCTGGTGCTGGGGTTAGTGTTATATCAGCTATTGTGCTGTGCATACTTACTAGTGTTTCCACAAGTTTCTGTGATGACCCATTCTGTATATTCATATCTATACTTTGGCCCGTTGTTCTTGCAGTTCAACTTCCACGGATTGTATCTTCTTGTTTTGAACCGTATATGACTGTGTACATTGAACTTGAGGAAAAATCTTTAGTGGATCAATTAGAAAAACTTGTCCAGGTACACGCAACATAAATATAATTGCAACCATTGTACTTGAGGTCTCTGTACCCTGAGCTCATCCTTCTATTCTGGCAGGAAGAAAGATGGGAAACAGGGAAGGAAGTCAAACGAACATTCTATCAAGCAGCATGCAGGTAGATAATACAAATAATACAATGCTTCGCTCCGGTTCCCCCCCCACCCACCCCAACCACCACCACCATCACAAACGCACAGATCAAAGCTAGGCTGATCAGTAGTGTAGATCTTCAAAGTTTGCCTTGCTCAATTTTGTATGGTACTCACCATTTTGTCCCCGCAATTTACAAAAGACCATCTTAATTGGTTTACAATTTCACCTATGCAGGTTTTCTTGGTGATCAGAAAAAGCTTAAAGCGGTGCAGCGCATTGACAAAGAACCAAACATTGTTCAGCTTATTTCAGGTAGGCAGTTTTCCCTTTTATGTACATTTCCTTGTTTGCTGTGTACGGGCTACAATGTTTGCTTTCAGATTTTCCCCCAGATGCTGGTATTAGAAACAAATAGGAACACCTTGCATCAAATACCAAATGGAATTGATATTAATCAAATATGAATATACTCACAAATGTATCAGATCATGAAAATTCCCTTAAATTGTATAATAATAACATGAACACAAATGGTTCCTTGATGTGTGTTGCTCATGCAATTGGCTATTTCTAATCTACTTACTGTTTATGTACTTCTGGATAGTTTGTCTGTGTCACTTTAACGAGCTTTACTGATACTCTGATGTCTCTTTGAATAGACCCAATCTGATAAATCCAATAATTTACTCTGCTGAGACTCTAAAGTTTATTTTGGGCATAACAATAGGTGGCCTCATGATTGTATTTCCTAAACTGGCATGCAGGGCTACTGGTTTCAGTATCCAGTATCACCTTTTCTTGTTTACTATCTTTGCTACTGAGCTTTATGCATCAGTGGGAAGCTACAGGGCAGTAAGCATTCCTACAGAAGGAAAAATGCACCATGCTCAAGAGCTCAACCCTTGCACTAGCACAAGCAGTATGAAATGAAATTTGCCATTCACATGAATGTGTTAGTCTGGGTTAGTAACTATGTAGAGTGAAAACCGCCTATCTAATATTAGATGTTATTCGTGCACATATTTATTATGATTGTTAATGTTTAGATTTATACGATTATCAAAGCCAATGAAGTTTGACCTTCAATGTGCTAATCACTAATATATTTTTTACTCAGTTATTTTTATCAGAGCCAATAAAGTTTAGCCTCTGAATGGGGCTCATAACTGTTTGCCCTTTATTTTTGCTAGGTATTTCAAAGAATACCAAGGCCTATGCTTGCTAAGTTATATGCCAGATTACCAAAAGGTGGAACTGGTATCGTTGCAGCTGCCACTGGTACCGATGGGCAGATCAGGGTACGATGGTCACAACTGAAACTCTCTTGTTTTCCTCATTTGTTTGACAGCAATTTATGTCCTTTTTACATTACTGCAGACCTCGGACAGGGGCGAGAGAATGATATGCTACATCGTCAACACTGCTGAATATTGTCACCAGACAGTAAGGGCAACTTGCCCTTAAGTATTATGGTAGCCTGATGTAGAAGGAAACATATTGTTGATTACTTCTCTCATGCTCGACAGAAGCAAAATATCAGAAAATGATGTAATCAAATTATGAGGCCATTTCTGTTCTTCACTGAATACTTGCGGACCTATGCCACTTCATTTGTATTCCATAGTCCGCTTGCAAGTGCTAATATAAGCAAGCCTCTTTAAGATATGCTACTGTTAACACTGATTAGTTCACAAATGACACTTTGGGCTTCAAGAATAATATAAAAATAATTTAAATTCACCCCCTTGTGCATCTTCATCTTTTAAGACTTCTTGCATCCTGGCCTGCCGTTCTCTATAATTAAGTACCCAGATTTATGTTACTACCACATTTTCCATGGGCACCACTCACTTAGTTCCTTAATGTAAGATCTCCCCCTGAAGCTGGGTTGGGAATGGTGGCACTGGAGATGAGCAGCTCAATAGTTTGTGGCATCTAGTGCTTAAGTTTATTGGTTGTGCCATGAGGCTACTTTTTTCCTTGTTGTGTGTGGCATGCATGCATGCATTTTGATCAAGTTCCTCTCAAACTGACTATTAGCTTTCTCTATAAATTTTACAGTCCGGTGAACTAGCTGAGAATGTTGCTAAGATGATTAACCCTCAGTTTGCTGACAAGGTGGACATGTCTGAAGTTCAGGTGACTGATCTTTTATTATTTTGTCCCTAACTTATGTGAATATTTTATTTATGTTACCGTTGGAGAGAAGGCCTCAACACTTCAATACTTGCAGGATGAATTCTCATGGTGATCACAAAAGCATTAATGACTCTTGTTCATGGACTTGAAACCAAATTTGATGCTGAAATGATTGCAATGACTCGTGTTCCATATGCTACCCTTGAAGGCGTTGGTGATCAATCAGAGTAAGATTTTACTGGATCCCCTATGTTATTCTGTTGCATCCTTTGCTGATATTCGTTCTGTGTGCTTTGAACCTCAAAAGGACTACTGGCCATACGCTTTAGTCCACGTCCTTGATGAGAAATGTTATAATACTGGAGTCTGTCACATGTCATATTGTAGCAATGATGTCATGCATTTTTGTAGCTGTGGTATTGTTAATGTCTTTCTACTGGAAAGGAGATAGGATATGATTCACTTTGGACTGCTAACTCGGAACTATCTTATTAGAGCCTGCATATATTATACACTAATTCAAATGGTGGATTGCTGGACTGAACAGGTTCAGGTGGAGTTTGGTTGGTGGTGCAGGGTTATAGTACATTGAAATGTCATTTATTAGCATGTGAGCACGCAAAAATGGCGTTGCGCGTTGAACAGATGTTTGAGTTTCTTTTAGTGAGATCTTTGAAATTTTTTGGCACCACCATCATGTTCTTTATTTTTAAAAGTAACATCCAATTTGCTTTATAAGCATTATTTGCCTTGCAAAATTTTCAGATCAGACAAAAATATTCGTTAACATTTTCAATTATATAAATATCTAATAGGATTCACTCTTGCGTGCCAGATATGTGAATGGTATCAGCTCTATTCTGTCAAGCAGTATTCCTGTGCTTGGTACCCTGCTTTCACCTACTTACTTCCAGTATTTCCTGGACAAAGTAAGTTCAGTATTCACCTTTGTAATAAGATAAAATATCACGTCTTTCATCGTTATGAACTACATATTGGCTTTCAGCATGGTCAATTATACTTTGTTTGTTTGTTCTGATCCAGCTTGCAGCCTCTCTTGGTCCTCGGTTTTATCTCAACATATACAAGTGCAAACATATATCAGAAACTGGTGCACAGCAGGTACGTGTTAAATGCCATGTGAAGCTAATTTTGTTTTATTTACTACTTATTCGGACTTCTCTCATTTCTTTGCATTTTGTCCCCAAGATGCTTTTGGACACCCAAGCAGTCAAGACTATTCTCCTAGACATCCCAGCTCTTGGAAAACAGGTAATCTTCTAATCTGAACAATTGTCTACATTTTAATATCTACAATTGTATTGTATACATGTCTTATGTTGGCCTACCAGTCTAAGTGGGCTAGTTCTTCTGTTTCATGTATTCTTGAGTCTGTGGAATGAAATCTAGCGCTAGAAAGTGTGCATGTTCAGCTAAAATGGTCTGATTCTTATGTACATAGGTTGCTAATGCAGCAGATTTGTAGTTTATGCTGGATTGCAATCCTAACAAGAAGATATATTTTTAAGTTATGGTATCTCAAAATCTTAAATGTGGCTTCCTTGCATTGTGTGTTACAGAGCACAGGTGCAGCTAGCTACTCAAAGTTTGTCAGCCGGGAAATGAGTAAAGCTGAAGCACTACTTAAGGTAAATTGGGGAGAATACTGTAATAATTGCTTAAAACGCACTGTGCTGAATGATTACCACCAGATAGTATCAAGCTGATGACATAACTTCATGCAGGTCATTTTGTCACCAGTTGATTCTGTTGCTAACACATACGGTGCCCTCCTCCCGAAGGAACGCCTCTTGAGTTTCAGCGGATACTTGACCTCAAGGTTTTTATATTAAAATTTGGCCTTTTTTTTTTTTTTTTTTTTTGCCAACTTCTACCTCCCAGGCTAATCTGACACTCAGTTGTTTGCTTCTGTTGTTATTGACTGCCACAGGGCTTGAAGAAAGCAGACCAACAAACTATCCTGGAGGACTTCAACAAACACGCCCCTGCCCCAGCCCCCGCCATCAAACACCCTGTCGTTGCTCCGACGGTCGCCCCACCAGTTGCCACAGCATCTGTCCAGATAGTAACTTCGGTGGCAACTCCAGCCGTTTCAATTACACCAAGCATGGTCTCCTTGAAGGGAGCACTGGCGAACCAAGAGGACGTTCTCGCACGAGCTGCCGCGCTTGGGCGCGGAGCAGCCACCACGGGTTTCAAGAGGTTCCTTGCATTGACGGAGGCGGCCAAAGATCGGAAGGACGGGCCGTTCCGCAAGCTCTTCAACGCGTAAATGTTGATCGTCGTCGTGTTCATAGTTGGCGCCCCTCATGCAGTGCACATAGATATAGGAAATTCTTTCCACACTGTGTACACCTTTACTGTTAATCGTCAGTGTATAACAACCGTTTTGACAGACCAGGCTATCCCCATACCGCGGAGAACGAGTAGCTCAGTTGTAGCATGGAGATTTTGAGATAGTTTGAGCTATGAGATAAGATTTTTTCCCCCCTGGTTTTGTGCATGAAACCTCAAGATTCTATACTCATGTGATTGTATAATCTTTTTCTTTATTTTTTTTCTTTTTGACGGGATGAAGGACGTCGTCGTTGGCCGTCCATTCAGTACGTCCTTCGGACGACACGAGCCTAGCAATTTCTGCAAAGCACAATGGTAGATGGTACAGTATTAATTACCGTTCCTGCGACTGATATGCTTGGCATCCAAGAACGGCATATGCACCCTGCTAAAAGAATATTCGCTACACAATAAATCATTGAATACGTTTTCGTGCTTCACTCTGCCTAACATTCTGACACGAAACCTTCAGGTGGATTCAAAATACTACTACTACATGACACATTTCAGACAGACATCATACATATCTGCAGATCAACTTATCCATCGTATTCCCGTTTCCCCCGGCCCATCCACCCCAGCGAAATTGCGTAACATAACATGGCACTATGATCTGTACTGCATGCGTCCAGATCTTCTCCTTGGGATCTCCACGTACTAAGCAATCGAAGGCCATATGCCACTATGCCACCTGCGACTGCGATGCAATCAGAAACCTTTGCTTCTCAATCAGTGGAGATGTTCTGTAACACCTGCAGGTGATGGAGCTTGGAAGATGATGAAAGTGGTTCTCTTCAGACTTCAGTCATGGGAAGGAATAGGATCTTGCAGCTGCAGGCATGCAGGTGCAGCTGTGCACAATCCGGTTCTGTGATAGCTGCCGTTTTTGAGCGTGTGAAAATGCTTCTCTTTCCTCAGCAAAACCATCGGTCAGCAAAACTGCCATGGAGATGGAGTGGTGACTGGTGAGTGAGTGCTGACCGGGTGGGGAGGGTCGTGTTGTGTGGTTCGTTTTCGGCAAGGCTGCTGCCATTTGCGCGGTGCCAACGCAGCCCTCACATGCGCATATTTGGTTTACTGGTCCTCTGTGCATGGGTCCATGCGGTCTCTCTATTATTCCAAACACACAACGTGACAGCGATACGGATCTGACCACAGACAGGAGCTACCACGAGATCGAACAGCTGGTTTAGGTCAGCTTGTTTCGACTTGTATAGCATTATTAAAAGCATCCTGCAGATGTTAGGATCACTGCAGTGATAATTTCTAGAAACTCTAAAAGAAAAAAAAAACATAAATATCCGCCCAGTCCTTATGTCACTAATCACGTTATCTATTCTTTATTACTTCCTATGTTCTAAAATATACTCTAAAAGAAAAAAAAGATAAATATCCGCCCAATCCTTATGTCACTAATCACGTTATTCTTTATTACGTCCTTTGTTCTAAAATATAAGACTAATTTGACTTGGTGTGATTTTTTAAGATTACACTGATCGCTAATTTCTTTGCAATATAGGAGTATAATTTATGGCAATAAAAGTTTTATCATTAGAAAGTATTTACAAATGAAATGTAACTATTTCTGTAGTACAAACTTTTCATATGATTAGACTAATTGTTGGTCAAAAATAACAATGTTTGGTTTTTGAAATATATGCCTTGTATTTCATGCAGAAAGAGTAGAAAGAAATATAGGCACCGTACAAATCACATATTCACATGTTAGACCTCTTGTTTAGATCATCTAGAGCTTATTTTTAACAGCTAGCAATTAGTTTATGGTATCAAACGAGCATTTAGTGTGGATTAGACAAACTAGGATGTCGAGAAAGAATTCGGATCAAGCTGCCGATCTGATCACAATTTTTTCTTTGCTGCACTGGTCAATCATGGCAGATTGGCACTTGGCAGAGCGTAATTCAATGCGGTGCTGTATGACATGCAGGTAGAGGTTGCCCCCCTGGAGACCCCCTGACATGTTGTTTTCTGGGTTGCAGACTCCCCTACGATACCTTAACCTGCTGGCTGCTGCCGCCAATTTTTTAATGGACACGTCGCACGTGATGTGTGCCCGCCCTGCCCGTCCGTTTCTCCTCTGTTAATCATTTTGGTTAGTCAAATCTCTCTCTGTTGATTGCCACTCCGATCTGAGATTAGTTTAATGACTTGCTTGGCTTTGGTGCAATCTTTGATACACTGAAAAAGGAGCTGGACTCGCTTGTCCTTTCTCCCTAAAAGATTACAGCTCATGTCTGGCTTTTGGAATTCCAGAAGTTCTTCAGAGAAGAACTCGTCTGCATCAGTTTTTTGAGCTGTCGTTTATTCAAAATTTTGTCAATACTCTATTCTGAAACTTCAGCCTTTTCGATTCGTTAGCTAGAAAAAAAATAATCAAAAGTTGATGAATCCTGTGCAATATCGACAAATAAAGACCCGCCTGATACACTCTATATGGGCGAGCGAGCGTTAGCTTGAGTGGTTCCGTCCCCTGTCGTGGGAAGGCCCCGGTCGGGAGTTCGACTCCCGGCTGCCGCGAGCACAGCTGCGGTAATGCGCAGTTTGTGCAGAAAAAAAAATCCCCGTCTGTCACGCTCCAAAGCACGATAAAAGGTTACGTACTACCACTCACAAGTGCGGACCTCAGGGCGAGGGTACGGAGTTCGGAGTTTTCTACCAATGAGAGGCCATCTTCCTCGCGTAAAACCGCATGGGGTTGTCTGCCCACCGCAGACTGATTTTTTTGTTATATGGGCGATGTCCTATGTTCAGCGCTGTAGACATGCTGTTACATTACAGTATTATTAGATTAGATAATCATGAAGTGCAGAACAGATGAGCAGTGTGCTATCCTGAGGAATATCCGGACCCGACATCTCGATGCCCAGATCCCACAGCCAGTGCTGCATGTATCGGTTCTCGCAAATCGTGGTATCTAGGACATGTTTGGAACGGTGGAATTTTGTACAAATCATATAGTAATCTACAGTTCAATTTCACATGAAAACATAAGGTCAGAAAAAAAATCTCGCGTTCAAAACATGACCTAGTCATTTTATTTCCCCCAAAATTTTTGCTGACTTTTCTGAATGAAAATCTCTTTTAAAACTAATAGTCACGAGATTATGCTAATTTTATTGATAGATAGAGAAGAGACTTAATGCAAAATCTTCGATGAACGTTCTAATTTTGGATTAGGAAAAGAAGCACTTCCAGGATTTTGCTGTCATTCCAGGCGAGCGACGTTTCTTTCCGGGAGGATTTAGGCCCCGTTCGCTTCCTGGGAATGGCCTCCAGGATAGTTCCGGCTGGATCGTTAGTTTATATTTGTATAAGATTCCATCATCAGCCGGAATGAATGCTGGCGTCATACTGTCTTAGCTGGGTCTTAGCTGGGTCGGCGCTCCCAAAACAGGCAAATGCAGCGTCAGAACAGGCTGTAGTGACCATGAAACCAAGCTTTAAACAATTTCCCGACGGGTTTTGGCCGTTTTGGGAGCAACGGAAAGGGATGGGATTGGCTGGCAACGCGAAATGTGGAACAGATGCGCATCCCTACACTGGCATCTCCCTGTCCCAGCCCAGAGTAGATTGTTTTCTGGGCTCAAACAGCTGCTCCTGCTACGCGCACGCAGGACCTCGCACCATCCTCCAAGGCTCCATGCAAAGCTCATTATAAATCGTTTCAACTTTGTGCCAAGCTCGTTATAAATCGTTTCAACTTTGTGCTAAGGATATGTTTGGATTCCTATACTACCTGTTAATAGTTATCTCTTTTGGATCAAACAGGTATAACTAATAAAATAGCTAATTGTTAGCTGAACCTCTATATAGTAACCATCTCATTAGTTGAATCAAATTAGATAATATCAACTAATAGTTATCTTAGTAGTATTTTTTTTTTTTGCCATTAGAAGCATTTTCCATTAGCTGTGCATCCAAACATGCTCCAACTAATGCCTAATAGGTAGCTAATAGTTAGCTAGCTATTATTAGATATGGACTATTAGCTAGCTAACTATTAGCAGATAATGAATCAATAATTAACTAGCTAATATTATATATGAGCTATTAGCCAGCTAACTATTAGCAAATAATGAATCCAAACAGGGCCTAAGTTTATTTGCAACTTCAAACTTTTTTTGTTAGATTACCACATGATAGATTTTGATAGTGTATTTGGCATTGTAGATGTCTTTTATACATGATGTTGATTAGTTCAACTTTAAAGTAGTCCATGTCATATGTAAAGAACATAGAGGGTATTGCAAATTAAATGTCAACTAGACATAAAAATTCCCATGAACTCTTGGTAATTCTTTAACTAGTAAAACATAAAAAAATAATCTTGTGAAAAAATATTACAACGGGCTACTCACTCGTTTACAAGTATAGATCACTTAGTTTTATTCTAAGTAAAGCTTTTCTATTTTTTACTATCTTTTTCATAAAAATATGTTAATATATATAAGTTTAAATAAATGCACCCATCGACACATATGCATGGAAAATTCAATGGGAATTTGATATTATCGATGTTGGTGTATTTTTTTTAAAAAACTTCAATGGAAATTTGATATTATCAATGTTAGTGTATTTTTTTAAAATAATTAAAATTTTAAAAAGTGTACCTTATGATAAAAATAAAGCGACATATATAATTAGAGCAGACGGAGTATTTGTCGATTATATTAGTTCATTGAATGTTTACGCGTAGCAACCCCAATTCAAAAATTGTGGAGCAGGGTGGCGAGAAGCATTTTGGGAATCAGGGCCGTGGCCCTAATCACAAAGGCCACCCAAATCAACCCCTTCCCCCTCCCTTCTCCCTCCTCCCCCACATCGGGCAGATTCCTCTTCTCTCACCGCCCAGGTCAGGTCAGGTCAGGCCAGGCCTGGCGGTAGAGAGATCCGGCGAGAGACGCCGCCTCTTGC